TATCTTCTTGATTGATTGTTCCTTTGATCAAAATGAAATAGCCCTCTTTGTCTTTTCTGGTTAGTTTCAGTTTAAAGTCTATTTTGTCAGACATTAGGATTGCTACGCCTGCTTTTTTCTTAGTGCCATTTGCTTGGTATAGTTTTTTCCATCCTTTCACTTTAAGATAGTGTCTGTCCTTGAAAGTGAGATGGGTTTCTTGCAGACAAGAAAAAGATGGGTTTTGTTTCTTAACCCATTCATGTAGTCTGTGTCTTTTGATTGGGGAGTTCAGTCCATTAATATTTAGTTATTAATGAAAGATGAGTATTGAATCCTGTCATTTTTATTTCTATTTACATTTGTGATGTAGCTGTACTTTTTCACAGGTATACATTCAATGAATTTCTTTCTGCAACTCCTTGGGTATAGTCATTCCTTTTTTCACCTCTTTGTATTGCTTCCAGAACTATCTGAAGGACTGGTTTTGTGGACATGAATTCCTTCAGCCTATTTATGTCATGAAAGATTTTTCTTTCCCCTTCAACTATAATAGACATTTTGGCTTGGTATAGTAATCTGGGTTGGCATCTGGGGTCGTTTAAAACTGGGAATATTTTGGTCCAGGCTCTTCTGGCTTTCATAGTTTTCACTGAAAAGACAGGTATAATCCTAATGGGTTTTCCTTTATATGGGACCTGTTGTTTTTCTTTTGCAGGTTCCAGTATTGTCTCTTTGTTCTGTATGTTTAGTGTTTTTACTATGATGTGCCGTGGATAGTTTCTTTTCTAGTCCTGTCTCTTTGGTGTTTTTTATGCTTCTTTCATTTGTATGGGCATGTCTTTCTTTAATTTTGGGAAGTTTTCTTCTAAAATTCTGTTGAAGAGCTGGTCCATACCATTATCTTGAGATTCTTTTCCTTCTTGTATGCCTATGATTCGGAGTTTGGTCTTTTTATGGTATCACACAATTCCTGCATATTCCATTCTTGTGCTTTCTTAAATTTTTCATAATCTTTGCTTGAGTGGTCTAGTTCATCCACTTTTATCTTCCAGTCTTGATATTCTGTTTTCCATTTCATTCATCCTATTTTTGAGGCTTTCTCCTCTCGTTTTTAATTGGCTTACTGAGTGATTCACTTCCTTCTTCATTTCAGCCTGAGTGGTCTTCAATATTTCTAACTCTTTTCTGAATTCATTCGGAAGTTTATCCCTATCTTCCTTCAGCTTTGATTTGTGTGTTCTTTAAAGTCACTGAATTTTTTTATCATGTTTATAATTGTTCTTTTGAGTTTCTTGTCCTGTATTCTCTCTAGGGGTTTCTCATTGTACTCCTCTAGAGAGCTATTGGTGTTTGGTGGGGATATGTTATTTTGATTTTTCATGTTATTATTTTTTCTCTGTGAATTTCTTTTGCAGTTTCTGATTCTTGTGTGAGACTCAAACCTTCAAGTTGCAGTCTGCTTCTCTTTGTAAACTTTATGTGCCTTTGTGGTTTACTTTTTGGGCATGAAAAGCTGGTTTGTCTAAGCTTCCGGTTCTCTCTTTTGATATTATATTGGAGTGGCCAAATTGTTTTTGTCTTCAGGAATTCCCACAGATGCCTAAGTCAGATGAGGATCAGATGCTCTCAGGCTTTCTCATAAGGTCTGGATCCCTCCAGGAAAGATGTTGTCCTCAGGAATTTTGTGTTCAAATGGCCTGGGCTCAGGGCCCAGGAAAGATGCTGATCTCTGGCAGCTGGTGGCCCTGCCCTGAGGAATGCAAAGGGAGGTAGGGACAGGAAGAGGCCCCAAGGGCTCCTGGGGACAGTAGGGCGGAACTGGGTTGGACTGGATGCAAAGGATCAGGAAGCAGTGGTGGCTCCAAGCAGAGGTCAGCCCCGGTATCTGGGGTGCCAAGACAAGAAATGGGCCAGTACCCAGGCTAAGAGAAGAGACAGGGCAGGGGAGCTGGGATGGTGAATGAGGCTTGGGGAGTCAAGGCATGGTGGGCACTGATGGATTTACCCAGGAAAAAGGCTGGCAGGTTGTGCAGCCCAGGGAAGCAGAGGGAAGTGAGGGCAGGACCAGGCCCAGAGGGCTCTTGGGGACCATGAGAATGAAATAGGTTGGTTTGGATACAAAGGATCAGGAAGCAGTGGTAGTTCTGGGCCAAGAGGTCCGTCCGGGTGTCCAGGAAAGAGGCTGCCAGATTGTTCAGCCTACGGAAGCAGAGTCCTCTTTTTTTTAAAAAAAAAAATATTTTACTTATTATTTTTATTTTTATGTGTATGAGTGTATTGCCTACATGTAGGTAAGTACATCCATGTTGTGCAGTGCCCATGGAGGACAGAAGAGGCCATTGGATCCCCTAGAACTGGAGTTACAGACAGTTGTTAGCTGCTGTGTGGGTGCTGGGATTTGAACCCAGGTCTTCTACAAGAACAATCAGTGTTCTCAACTGCTGAGCCATCTCTCCAGCCCCGGGGCGGGGGGGAGAGTTTCTCTTAAAGATTGGTTGCTAGTGTGCAGAATAGGACCAACCCTATGAGATTAGTCAGAGTGTAACCAACAGAGTCACACTCTGTGACATTCTGCATTTTGCTGTTAACTGATCATTTTTCTTTTGGTTTTGATTTATTTTAGCAGATCTAAAGAAAGCCTCCAGTTCAAATGCTGCAAAGTCCAGCCTCCCAAAATCTGGGCTTCGTCCTCCTGGGTACTCTCGTCTCCCAGCAGCCAAGCTGGCGGCGTTTGGCTTCGTGCGGAGCTCCAGCGTCTCTGCAGTGCCCAGCACCCAGTCCCTGGATAGTGTGCAGCCAGAGCAGAGCCGACCAGTCACTCGTGAGTGGGGCAAAGGGGCCAAGGGATGGGTGGAGGGACCACCTGTACCCTTCGGGGCTGATTGCAAGCAGAGTGAAGAGATAGTGCTTTGATGGCAGGGATTATGGATAATATAAGATTCTGGTGAGATTTGGGGGCTCTTAGATCATATCCCAGGAACACAGCTTTGCTAGTTCAGCTTATGAAAATAGCAGCATGGTAGCATGGTACTGGAATTTGTTCCCCCCCCTTTTTTTTTGTCTTGAGTGTTGGCCTTTTGCAAACTGTAGGCCACATGGAAGTCCTTTAGAAATATCAGCCAAATTAGGAATTACCCCAGAGCACAGTAGATATGCTAGAATTGGAAGAATTATATAGAGCTGTATTTGCAGATGTGTAATTCACAGTTTTAGACATTCACACACATACTGCTGACCAACATCACCACTGACTATGGCTTGCTTTATTTGAGGCACTGTTAAGTGAGTCATTATGAATGTATTAGTGTTTCCTAGGCTACCATGGCTCAACTGTGACTCTTCCTATTTGGCCTTCTTGGGTCCTGAGGGTGTAAGTGATAACAAATGTAGGGAAAGGCCCCCTGTGATGCCCTCTAGACCTGGGGTGGCAGGGACTACTTGGGTCACAATGGTTCCATAGGGACTCCTCCCTCCATCTTGACCTCAGTCTTTGGATCACTAGTCCAATACCACTGGACAGTGATGTTTGAGTCACATGCATGTCTGTGTCTTTTTATGACTTACCCAAGCTCTTGGTAAGTGGAGCAATATGGAGAAATGAATTATGTTCATAGCCCACTAGAACATGGAGGTACCTTACTGTCTAGATTGCCCTTCATAGCTGAGCTGCTGTGTTTCGCTCTTAAGCTGAGCAAGTCACAGGCATGAGTTAAATGTCTTTACTTTCTATTAGTGAAGCTCTACATTGTGGTGCTCACCATGTTCCTGAGGCTCAGGTACTATAGTCCCTGCAGTTTGCTCTCAGAACACATCTGTTCCCACTTTCCATCTGTCCCCTGGGCCATCTCACACATCGTATTAGGTCGTGGCTCCCTGGACACAGTCCTCACAGTTCTCTAGTCTTGACCTCTCTCTAGAGCCATGTACCTGCATTTCCAATGACCAACCACTATCTCTAGACAGGTGACCCAGGTCACCTCAGACTGAACATTTTGAACATTTTCCAAAAACCAATTTTTTTTCTAAGCAACACTTCCTTCCTCCTCCAAACTTGCCCTATTGTTTAGTGAGTCCTGTGATCTTCTGGCACCTCAATCTGGAAATTTCAGAGCAAACTTTCCTTCTGCTCCGTGTTTTCCATCCTTTCTAGTCAGTAATCACCTCTGGTCAGTCGCCTCTGGTATTTTCTCTGTCTTTGTCTTCTCTTGTCATCTTCATTGAAGTCAGAAGTAACTGCTACCTAAGCCGTACCTGATCCTCTCCAGTCTCCAAGGCTCACACTCTGGGATGATTTTCTCTTTCACCTGTTTGGTGCCTCCTTCAACTCTAGATTTCTGAACATTTTAAGTCCTCCATTTTCTGTCTCAAGCCTCCTCTCCTTTTCTTGATATGTACCCTCAACTAGCCAACCAGAGTTCACATTTTCCTCTAAGCACTTTCTTCCTCCTGGCCTTTGAGTTTTGATTTCAGCCATTCACCTGTGGAATGCACCTTTCATCTACCTCTTTCTCCCATAGCTCTCTGTAGAGTAGGTGACTTTCAGGAACATTCTAAATCCTTTAAAATGCCAATCCAATATCATATTTTTCTTCTATGAACTCCTAGGTCCCTTTACTTATATCACTTTTATCTCTATGTATATACTATACATTTAGATTTTTAGTTCTGCGTACTTTCTCCCTAGTCAGTTATAAATTTGTTGAGCATAGAGGTTGTGCTTCCTAACAATCTTAGTATCTCTTACACTAAAGCACGATGTTCTTTATACTATTCAATTTTAAGGAAATTTCTGTCTGTGTGGGAAAAAGCTTTAGAGAATAATTTGAGTAGCTTTCATAGTAGTTTATTTGGGGGATTGCATTTCTAACCTTATGTACATATTTTGATAGTCGGTGAAGTTTATAATTCTGTTTTCACAATTTTCTAGAATCCTACAAATAGTATTTTCATTAACTGTACTATGTATAATTTATACAAGTGAAAGAATAAAATAGAAAAGATAATCTTATCATATAAGGTATGCTTACATTTAGAGATAAATCTTCACATGTTGACCTAGTAGTCTAATAACCTGTTTATCTCCTTGTATATACTTAGTCATTTCAAAAGACTCATTCTGAAACTACTGCTGAGGTCATTCATGAGATAATCTCTAAATTTCCAATCTTAGATGCCTTGAGTTGGAAAGATGAGATAAACTCACTGAATTATTTAGTTTTAGGTCTTAAAAAATTAGTATATCTCCCTTTAATTATTTAATAGGATTTGGTTCTGGGGATAATATTAAGTAGAAAATCACTAGGTTTTTAGGAAGGTTAATCAGTGAAAATGAGGGTTAATAGTAAAGTGTTCTGCAATATGAACTCAGCATTATGCTCATGAATAGTATAAAATGCATTTACATACATAGCTCACTTGATTATCTGTGTCTGACATGCATTTTAAGTAAGTTCAGAGTTGACAAGAAGTGTTATTAATAACTCCTACAGGAACAGCCATTAGCCTATCTCATATTCCATTGGCAAAGAGGGAGTCATTTTTTATTCATGGAAAAAGGAGCTGACAGTGGCTTAAGAGGTCAGATTTCAGAAAAGCTGTTTCCCATTTGAGTGTAAGCCTTATTGACATCTTTGTTCATGTTTTATTTCTGGACAGTCGTGTCTACACAGGGATGGGGAGAGAGTGTGACCTTGTTTTGTTTTTAAGCAAGTTTCCCATGTATGGTTGTAAGCTAAACTGAAAGTATGTAGAACATATTTTTATTTGTAGTAAAAATAATGTCTATAAGAAGAGTCTTGTTTTTCTTGGCTGTCCCATTTTGCAAAGATTAGCTTGTCTCCTTCCCCTCCATTATGGCATGGTTTGAACATCTCCCCCCATATATTTAGCACTTAGACAACTCTGACCTGGACTCCAGGGCCCTTACCCTCATGGGGACTGGGGAGATAGGATGATAGGCCCATGCTGTGACTGATGGCTGCACAGCTCTGGAGCACAGGTGGAGGAGGCAGCATGTGATGGACATATGATTTTCCCTGAGCTGCCAGAGCTGCAGTAAGAAAGGACTTAGTGTCCTATAGGGCCTCTCTAGGCTGGCTCTGTGCTACTGTGTTCTGTCTTCATATTAATTATGCCACATTGGATTTCAATAATGATAGCATTTTGGTTTACTGTAAAAATGTTACAATAAAAACCAAAACAGAAAATAAAACAAAAACTGGAGGTAGGGGATGATAGATTTTTTTTAAAGATTGAAGATTATTTGAAAATTATTGAAACTATAGGATGAAACTGTAAGGGTTCATTGCAGGGCTTATTTCCCTTTCATATGTCTGAAAGCTTCCATTAAAAGAGGTTAAAATCTTACCATCTCCTTGACTGGTTTTATTTCTTTTTCATTTTATTTATTTTTTTCATGTTTTTAAACAGTTTTTATTGAGCTTTTGTAATTTCATGCAACAGTTCTTAATCAAACTTAGATCTCTCCCCAATCCATGCCTCTCCCATCCCCTCACTGGACCTCATATAGTCCGCCATACATGTTAAGTCCTATCTAGTCAAACATTTGTACCCAGATGACCTTCAGTGTAGATTTGTCCACTGGAGTCTAGTCAGCCCATCTAGAGATCATATGTAAGGCATACTCTCCCTCACCCAGCAGCAATCCATCTCCAATAGTTCTCAGTTTAGTGCCAGCCACCATCCATTTTTCTCCTCCCCTCTGAGCCCTTGTTTAATTGAGTTGGGATGGGTCCTGTGCTTGATGCCACCACTGCCGCAGGTTCACATGTACAAGAGTTCAGTGGCCTGAAAGCCTCTGCTTCCCTGTGTTCAGGAGCAAGCCCCCTCTTCTGTAATGGTTCCTGAGCTGTGGGTGGCTGAGGTTCAATATAGGAGTCTTATCCCAGGATACACACACTGCAGTCTCTTATGCTTTTAAACTTGGCCAGTTGTGGCCTCCTGTGTGTATCACACTCTGTTATATAAGGAAGCTTTACTGGTTAGAGTTGCGGGATACATTAGTTTTTTCTCTACTTGTTCCACTATGTTCCATGAGCCTTAGGTATAGAGTTGCAACTGCAGATGTGTCACCTAGTACCAGGCATTTCTCAGACATATATTCTCTGTGTCTGACCAGTTGTAGAATTCTGCAGTAGCCTCCATCTTTACAAAAAGAAGCTTCTTTGATGAGTGGTGCATGGTGTGCTTGTCTGTAAATATAAGGATCCATATTTAGCATATGGTAAGAAATTTTAATTTTTTTAGAGATATGACATAGATAGGATTTTCTCCAGGATCTTTGTCCTTTACTGCCTTGTGTATTTGGCTGAGTTTACAGTGTCACCCATGAGTTCATTCCCATTGAGAGGGCTTTAAGCCCAATTAGATAGCTGTTGATTACCCCCAGATAAGAGTACCACTACTGCACCAATAGTGGTAGTTTGGCCTGCTGGTCATTGTGGTTATTAGGCTTTAGGGCTGGGTTGGACTGTTGATTGATTTTTCTCCCTTGGCAGTTTGCATATTATCATCTAGCATTATGATAGCTAAACTTTGGTTAGAAGGCTTTCTGCTCTATTGCTCTAAGTCCTGTAACTGAAGTATGTCCTGTCTTCTTCATATCTACTAGTTCTGGGAGATGATCAAGAGTTTGGGCAATAGCCTGTGTTATTTTGGGAATCTTCTGAACCACTCTCACGAACCACTCGAAGGGAGGTCTCTTCTGCCTGGCACTGTGTTCCTTGCCAAGCAGCTCCCACGTATACATATGCACTAATGTTTAGACACTATATGTGCATTTCTAGAAAGATCTTAAATACC